TCAAAGTCTGCTGAAGTACCCTTAGTCTGATTATCCGATGCACATCATTGTCCGTAGTTGCTTTGCTAGAGTGGTGAAAAAGGGTAGCTTTTATAGCGAAGTTCAGCATTTCGAGGGTTTTCATTAAATAGTAAGGTATTTTGAAATAGGAGTAAGAAGAGAAGAGCAAATAATATTAAGAAATTAATAAAAGTAATAAAATTATTTTAATAAAATTATAATGGCAGGAAATATTTCGGTCCATTAAGTTGTATACATTTCTTACCATTACCATAATTGGACCTAGTCAGTACAACGACTGTGATAAATTTTAGTTTCTTCACTCATTCTGCCTCGTTTTTTGCAATTCGAGGTGTGAATAGATTGTCATTTAAGCTTTTTTTCTCATAGGTGTTTTGCGCACTGTCGTACATGTAGCGGTTTTTTAGGCTCAGCAGCAAGATCGTGAACGTACGGAGAGAATGTATCGCTCGCGCGGGGCAGTGAGATCGGATCGATATGGTGGCGCTTCGGCTTACGGCGGTTGGGGTGGTCCTGGCCAATGGGGGCCACCTTCTGGAGGTAAGTGTGTAGCATTTTTGGCCATTTTTGGTACCGTTTGTTCGAATTCCTCTTCGTATAGCACTTTATATTGTAAGTTAATCCTCTGTACTGTTGTTTTATAGGTGGTTATGGTGGCGGTTATGGTGGCTCCTCTGGAGGTTTGTGCTTTAATATTCCTTTTATAGTGCTTTTTGTTGATGATATTTTTCTAGTGCTGGCCAATGCTTTTTCATGTTTCGGGTAGATATCGCCTCATAGTAATATCCCCTTGCCAGGTAACTTTTCGTTTATTGTTGCTGATGTTCTTCATTTGAAGAGGAAATTGCCCAAATCTGTCCCATTTTTTTCGGTGCAGTTTGAGATTTTTGGCAGAAATCGTTGTTTTCTATTATAAATTTAAAACTGTTCAGGATGGGGACCGTCAGGTGATGGTCCAGGAAGCTGGGGTGGACCTGGTCAAGGTTCTTGGAATGGGTCGCAGTCTGGTTCTGCTGGTGAGTCTTTGCTTTTGGTTGTTTTTTTTTTTTTTTTT